CATGATAAACTTTGATTTGTTCTGAAAATATATTTTTGGATCTTTTCTAATCGGTTAGCAAAATATTTTAATCAATTACTTTCTCCTATTTAAGAATTGTTGAGCTAGCTAGGCTTTGTGTTCTATTCTCCATCTTTATGATTCTCAGTTTCTCTTTGTTTGCACCTCCAACTATTGCTTTAGTACCCTTTTTCTTAAAATATTTGAAAACATTTATTTTATGGGTTAGAGATATTTAACTCAAAAGATTGGTAGAAATAATTTATGTCAAAGCATAAACAAAGTAATTGAAATTATGGGACTTTAAAACATATGCAACGACTGATGTCCCAATTCCAACATAATGTCAAGATAAATGTCATGACATCATTTGCTTACAGAAAATACTTGCTAAAAAAGGATATTATGCATAAAATAAATTTCAGAAAAATAAACAGCACAATTAATTGTTAAGCCAGTTTGGTGCAATGTCACCTACTCAGGGGGCTACCAAGTCAGAAAGGAAATTCACTACGATGGTATTAGTTCAAAGCTAAACCAACCCTAGTTTACAACTTATCACCTAATCTCTACCTTGTGCAACTTCTACCTAGACACCTCCAGATATGATATCCCCCTCTCACTTTTAATCAACTCAGTGATACAAACAGTCACAAACCTTGTGACTAGACTAAAAGAACCAAATAGAAGATTACACTTCAAATACAATACTTAGTTTTTCTTAAAAATTTCAACTAAGAAAAATAATCAACTCTTTTATTAAAAGCTCATGAGTGATAATAATCAGTCTACCTCAATGTATCCGAAGATACATGAGTGACACACAAAGAACAAAAACACAAAGAACTTAAAAGACTCTCAAAACCCTAAACCTTTATGTTGCACCCATGATTTTGTTGTTATGAATGCTTAATATTTTAGGTTTAGCAAGTCCTTATTTATAGACTCTTGCAGTATGGGCTTGAACTCTTCAATCAAATCCAATCTTCACTTTTAAAATCAACTGCAAGATCTTCACACAAAAATAGGAACAAATCTTCAAAGTTTCCTAAAAAGTCTCAAAGATCCTTTTTATGAAATCAAATCAAATATGCACTTGTTCCTAAAAAATCCTTAATTAGTTGCGCCTGTATGAGTACCAAAATCTTCAAGAATCTCATTTTTTTCAATCAAATCTTCAAGAAAAATAAAAGCAGCGCCTGTTGTACAATAGGCCACGATGTCACGACATCTAGCTCAACATATGTCTAAAACACATGAGAGCAGAACATGTCATGACAGATGATCAAGATGTTGTGACATCTTGGTCAACATCAGATAAGAACCATGTTTTAGCAAAAAATTTGTCAATCCTAAAGTCGTGGATCTAATAGTAATAAAAATAACTATTTTAAGGGGTTAACAGATTTAACTGATCATTTCAAACTTAGAATAATTTTTACTTTTCTCAATAAATAATTCTAGATATGTATTTCCCAGGTGGGATGAACACCTCATGGTGTACCCTTATCATCACATCGTTGGATGTAGGAGTTGGTAAACAATAGAATAAATAAGACCATTGCAAACCTTTTATTCAACTGATCCCTTCTGATCATTTAATCTTGAGATTTATCTCAAATATTTTTCTTTGATCATAATGGTTGACATCGTTCATCCTTGTGATCAAATATTTTAAATAGAATTTGTATACTTCTAGAATATACTGATTCTTTGTACAACTTTTACATAATCACTTAGTCTCAGAGCTATAAAAAAATCCTGCAAAAACAAATAGATTTTTTCCTTTGGTGCCCATAATATAGCAATTATTGGAAACTTCCCTTTTCTGAGTTTTATGATCCCATGATCTCATCTTTCTCATTGTGTGTCTTTATGCATATTTCTTCTTCTTTGTTTGAAGATGTTTATTTCTTCTTATTTATTCTAATGTTTCAGAAAACTTCTTCATCTTCTCTGTTGTTATTTGAACAAGAGGATCCTTCGCCTGTTTTATCTTTGAGTTTTATCTTTTGAAGGTTTAAGCTGGGTTGGTAGGATGGTGATTCTTCTATTTGGATTTGTTCATCTTTAATTCAGCTCATTCATCTTCTTTATGATTTCCTTCTTCCATGAAGTTTATGAAATAGATTTAAGAGTTGGATTGATTTTCCAAATCTTAACTCTTAGATGTTTGTTAGAAAAATAATTATATATGACTCGATCTAGAAAACTTTTAAAGCTAATATCTATTTTATTTTTTGCCTTGTGTGTTCATTTTCTCTTGTCGGGTATTTTTGAAGAAAATTCATATTTCCTTTTCAGATCTCCCACATTTCCATTGCGGTTGAATAATGGTGAAGAGTTCACAGGAATTAAAAATACAATCATAAAGCTCTTAATTTTAAAGATCTATATCAATCCTTCTTTACCTCTTTAGCCAAAAAATATTTGTCCACTATCAATCATAATTTTGATGAGTAGGGTGAACTGGACAATCAACTATTGTTTTCAAAGAAAAAATTTAAGTTTAAATTTCAAAAAGTGAAAGTTTGTTATTTTCAAAAAGGTGGCGGTGACTTTAAAAATAGAACTTGTGTAGGAAGTCGTCTTCCTCCAGAGATGATAGTCCTTTAAACATGAGTTAGACTCTGATACAACTCGTTGGACTTGATACTATACACACAAGAGGGGGAGGTGAATTGTGTTATTTGGAAAAACATTTGTTCTGAAAATTTTTGGCAATTTAATCAGAAATTGAAAATATTTTCTAAGTCTAAGCAGCGGAAATAAAATATTTAAATTGCAGAAATTAAAATTTTTAAGGGAGAAGAAAGACACCATGAATTATAGAGGTTCAGTAAAAAATAAAAGTACCAACTCCTCTCCCCAAGACTTGGTATTGCAATTTTCCAATAATACTTGAGAGCTTTTACTATAAAAGACTCACGAACCCCCTTATACAAGGAAATGGCCCTACAACCGTAATAATACACGGTGGTAGATATGAGCATTTGCGTCTTTTCCAATAAACTTTTTAGGTTGAAGTGGACAAGCTTCCTTTCCAATTGTAAATTGAAGAGGTTAGTCTTCTCTCCATGAACACGGACCTTGTACTCGTTAGTCTTCAAGTTCCAAAATATATCTGAGCTTAATTGGTTTAACAGGATAGCTAAATAACCTTTTGGATTTTAAACAGGATGATATCAAAACCTATCATGGTTTTAACTGGGATAACCATGAATCAATGGTAAGATATTCAAAGCTAGATGATCTTTAACTTATAGGGATTGTATGCTTGGAAATACCTTCTTAGTTTTTGAGTTGCCACCATCACAGCCAAGGCAGCTTTCTCAATTTTCAAATATCGAGTTTTTGCTCCAGCTAAGGCTTTGGATATGAAGTATATTGGAGTATTCCCATTATTTTTTCTTATGAGGACGACACTTAATGCTTCCTCGATCACTGCTTGGTAAAAATATCATTTCTCACCTGGTGATGGTCGGGTGAGCTCTGGCGGGGTAGCCAAGATCCCTTTCAAGGAATCAAATGTAACATTACATTTGATGTTCCAATCGAACTTTGCTTATTTTCTCAGAAATTTGTAGAATGGTAACACTTGTTGGTATAATTTCAAAATGAACATATTCAGAGATGTCAGTATTCCGTTCAATTTATGTATGTCCTTCTTAGAAGTTGGGGCTTTCATTTGAATGACTGCTTCATATTCGTTTAGGTTTGCTTTAATCCTCTATTACTTAAAGTAGAAACCTAAAACATTATCGACCCTTATGGAAAAGGTGCATTTTTAGGGGTTAAGCCTCATGTTGTATTTCCAGACCCTTTTAAACACTCGGACGAGGTGTTAAACATGTAGGGAATTTGCATCAGACTTCACGGCCATATCATCCATGTATACTTCCATTGTTTCCCATATTTATTATTGTAATAATTTGTTCATCATCCAATGGTAGGTTTCCCCGACATTCTTTAGCCCGAACAACGTGGCATTATATTGATAATTGGCTTGTTCCATCATGAACACAATTCTCACTCGGTAAGGTCCATACACTGGAATCTAGTTGCAAATGAGGATAAGTGCGATATGTGTGTGCTTAGTGTGCCATAGGAGTTTTGGAGCCTGTACTTGAAGTGGTGAGCATGCTTAGAGTGGTCCTAGGCGGGCTTAGCATGCTATGGTTGTTTGATGAATAAGTGGTTTCGCGCTTAGCATGCTTGTGCGGGCTAAGCATGATCTGCAATTTTAGATTTTGTATAAATAGCTTATAATCGATTTTTTTGGGTTTTTTATCACCCTTTTCCCCTTTGAAGAGGCTCTAGTCCAATTTTAATAGTTTAGAGGTTTAGGAAACATCATTGGGTGCTACACCATTTCGATTAGTTATGGGTTGGCACGAATCACTTTGATAACATGAGAAGTTTTTGGTTCATCTCCTTCTTCTCTATGTATCATTCCAATGATGGGTGTTGTATGTATATTTTAATCTTATTGTATGTACATTTGTTGATCATGGGATTGTATATATGAGAAGAATCTAATACACCCCAAAGTCAGTAGTCAAATCACTAGTTATACCACTCCACTACACACACCATTACTCCCCGTTTTTTCCATTACTTGGAAAAGGCATGAAAATCAAGAAAACCAGAGTAGTACTACCAGAGGAGTACTCCAATGCAAATCCAATCTTTGAAATTTTTTAAATTCAAATCTTTTTACAAACTGATTTGGATTAACAAACTGCATCAATAAGATATTTTCTATATAAATGCAGTACTATATTCTTGGAACTAAGATGTCCCCTACATGTTCTAGACATCTTTCTTGGTAATTTTCCTATAAAAATAAGCCAATAAAAGAAAGAAAAATCTCCCCCTTTGGATATTTTTTAAGGCAAAGCACAAATTAAACACTTCTTCAAGGTTTCACCATAACTAGTACTCAAGATACAAAAACTATAAAATAAGTATGTCATTTTCTTTGTCTCCCCCTCTTTGTCTCAAAAGAGCCAAAGGACATAAGACCAGCAACAAACAACAAACCAAAGTAGATGAAGACACAATAACAACACACAACTTCTTACAAACACGAGTTGAAAGCCACATCCTTTCAAAATAATCATATCATCATCTTCCCCGCAAACTTGTAGTAGAAGAAACAACATGTTGAGATCAAAAATCTCCAACATTTCTCCAACAAAAACCAAATCAGTTTCATCAACAGGTGCACAGCTGTTGGAAACAATGTCTAAGACATCTTTCTGCCTAAACATAATGTAACTAAAATTTAACAACCAATGAGAAGTAACATCATTAGTAATCACAAATTCCTTTATCAATTTAGGAAAACCATATCCATCATTCAACATTGTCTTCAAATACTTAGCATCATTAAGAAGCTCCATTATTTCATAATATTCTAGTACATCAACATAATGCTCCTTTTCCAGAGCCATTTTCCTATGATTAGCAATATTCATTTTCTTCCTAACTTATTTCTTAATAAAAATTACATATTTATTATTCTTCTTAGGAGTCTTCTTTGCCTTTGTATGAGTATAGTTCTTCTTGGAAGAAGCCATTTTAGCCTTCAACACAACCTTTCTATTTTCCACCTTTTTCTTTGACTTCTTGTCAGGCCTTTTACTAAGATCAACATATTTTGTAAAAACAACATGAAATCCATTGTTCTTCACACTATTCACCATATCATACACTTTAGAATTAATAGAGGCAACTTTCCCATCCTTCCTCTGAGTTGGAAACTCAGTTACCAACATGTCATACAGGTTGTCTAGCACATCCTATTTGATATATACCTTCAAGTACCTATTGAGGGATACACTTTTCACTTCCATCTGATAAAGTGTGAACATAAGGCTACAATACATATGTAGAAACATTTAGATGCCTTCAAGATAGCCAATAGGAGTATAGTCTTCTGCATGGCCTTGTGTTATAAGTTTAACCTTCTTACTACTAACAATATTAATATTGTTATAAACAACATAAATGTATTTATGAACATGATCATCATCACTCATAGAATAATTCTTATGGGACACATAATCAATATATGGAATATTATGAGGAACTGTGTCTAAGACATGGTTCTTGACATCCAGCTTATACATGAGATTTAACACACCAAGAGAAACACCAATTTCAGCTTCACCAAACATAGTACATTGATTTTGAATAGTGAAAATTCCATAATTATGAGAAGTAACCCTGTTGCACCCCAAAATTTACCCTCCCATTTTTACTCAAAGCATGCTCCTAGAGATCCTCAATTGCTCAAGGTTAACCAAGAATTGACCAGACAAATTCTCCTCCTAAGCAATGAACCTCTAACTAGGGTTTCACTTATCATCAATATGTGTGAGCTCCAAATGTCTCAAATGTTTTCCATTATCCTTATATGCCTTCAAGATTGTCCATGACAAGTTCCATGCCTTGCACTACAAGTTTGCTCAGTCAATTTCTCAAATGCTTGGAAATCAACTATACTAGGTCAAAAGTCAACTATGGCCCATGTATAGTCAAACTTCAAGATTTTTGGTCAACATCAACATTTTTAATTGATATCCATCGTTTGATCAAGGGTTGATCATGATTCCTCAAAGAAATATCCCAAATTCATCAAAAGCCAAGAATTGCTAAATTAGGGTTTCTATAGGAAAAGTCAACTGAACTTTAACCAGGCATAACTTTCACATACTTCATCCATTTTCCCCCAACCAAAGCTCATATTGAAGAGAATCTCATTCCCTACAACTTCTCATTAGCTCTCAAGTCCAAGAAATGCACCATTTGAAAGATACAAGCTCATACATTACAAGTCATTTTTAGAAAGTCAACAAAAGGTACTTTTTGTCAAGAGCATTTACATCAAGATAAACCTTCAGATGCAAAATTGATCAAAATAGGGATTGAAGTAGACATCTCGGTCTTTCCAAAAAGTCAAAGGTCATCATCATAAGATAAAAATTGAGCAAGTTATGGCTTGAACAAGTTGGGAAAATTTGGGAATTTTCAAGAATTATGCATTGAGCAAATTTGAAGTTTTAAGTCAAGGGCTTAATTTCTCGGACTTCAAGCATCCTCCTAAGCTCATAGAGGACCTATAAAATTACTCTTACCATGGCTTACATTTTTTACTTATTTTTTACACATTTATTTTAATTTATTTCAAGTAAATATAAAATAAAATGTATAAAATGATTAGAGATGAGCTTGGAGCTTTGGGCTGATGTTTTGGTTTGCCTTGAAGCCCATGATTTCGTGCAGCATTGTCTAGACACATTCAAATTCAAAAATGGACAAGTTTGCATGTTTTTGGCCAAAGGTACAAATCTTTATTCATGGCTTTAAAACACATGATCATGGCTGTTTAATTCTATGCTATCTTGTCTTCTCATTCTACTCTATAAATACCAGGCCTTAGCAAGCATTAGCCACACAGAGATAGCCCCCAAAAGTCACACGAAATTGAAAAAAAAAAAAAAGCAAAGTTGGTAAAATTCAAAAGCACGGTTCCTGCTTTTCTCAATCCAAACAAAGGATCCCAATACACTCCTGGAGGTTCCCTGAAGTTATTCCAACCAATTCCAGGGCTTGCAGCTTCGTGAAACACCCTCCCCAAGTCACAGTTTGCATTAATTTTTTGAAATTCGTTTTCCTCCATTCACTCATTATTAATTTAATTTGCTTGCATATTTTGATTCGTGGTGATGCATAGAACGTTTTTGGATGTATTATTTTGAGGTTGAGTACAGTTTTGAGGACCCACCATTGTTAGGGTTCCGAGCTCCCAATTTAGGGAACCCTAGTTTTGTACCCCAAAATTTGCCCTCCCATATTTCTCAATACATTTCAAGTGAGGTCCTCAAATTGCTCAAGGAAGTCCAAGAGTTGACCAGACAAACTCTCTCCTAAGGCAGTCTACCCCAAATTAGGGTTTCAGTTTGCACCAAGATGTTTGAGTCCAAAGGATCCCAGATGCTCACCATTGTCCTAATATGTTCTCAATATCATCCATGTCAATTTTCAAGCCTTGTAGAGGAAGTTTGCTCAGCCAATTGCTCAAAGGCCTGAAAATCGAATTTGCTAGGGCAAAAGTCAACTGTGGCCCACATACAGTCAAACTTCAAGATTTTTGGTCAACATCCTCATTTTGAAGTAATATTCATCATTTGATCAAGGGTTGATCATGATTCCTCAAGGAATGCTCACAATTAATCAAAACCCAAAAGTTGCTAAATTAGGGTTTTGTAGGAAAAGTCAACTCAACTTTGACCAAGCATAACTTTCTCATACTTTATTAAACATGACCCATCCAAAGCTCATTTTGAAGAGGATGTAATTCCCTACAATCCATCTTCAGATCCCAAGTTCAAAATATGCACTCACAAGAAGATATGAATTTGGACATTATAGGTCATTTTGGAAAGTCAACAAAAACACCTTTTGGGTCAAAGCTTCATACATTAACATGGAAGACTCAATTGAGATGAGACCAAAAAGGATGCTTATAGGACATCTTAAGATTTCTAAAAAGTACAAGAACACATCTCTAGGATCAAAATTGAGAGAGTTATGCATTGGCCAAGTTGACCCTTTTTGCAAAATTGCCAAAAATCAAATGTGTCCGAAATTGCAATTTTTGTCAAATGGGCCCAACTTTTTATGCTTTCATTGAGTTTGTAATGTGACCCACGACCCATGAGCTCCTCCACTTCTCATCATTTTATTTTTGTCATTTATTTTGATTTTATTTCATTTAAATCAAATAAAATCAAAATAAAATAGTAAAAATATCAAAAGCTAATCAAATCTTGAGATTTTGTGCATGTTTAGGTCTATTACATAGCTGGAAGTGAGATCAAATTGTGCAAGGCTCATATGGACACAAAAAGATTGCATTTTGCTTGATTTGGAAATATTTGCACAAGGATCAAATCATGAATCAATAATCATAATTGACAGAGATTTGATACAAGTTTGCAACCCAAATTCATTCTAGGGTACATAAGGGACAATTGCAGACCAAAAACAAAGAGGCGAGAGGCGTCCAAGACAGAAAACAAAGTTGCAAAAATTCAAGAAAAGTTGTAAATCAATTTCCAGGTTTCAGACCATCTCAAGCCTTTCTAACCATCTCAATCGTTTGTTGGATATCTCTAGACTATAGTGCAACCATTAACAAGCGTCCCCATGTCTAGAATCACACTATAAGAGTCAAGTGATTCATCCCTTTTCTTGAATTCGCATATCTTAATTCTGGCATCTTTAACATGATTTATTAGAATATTCTTAATCCTTGAGTTATTTGCAAACTAATGGTTACAATTAATTTCGTTTTTGCTGACTGAACATGAAAGTGCCATGGCTAGGGTTCATGTTTTGTTTTTAGGGGTTTTGCATACATGAGAAATTAGGCATGGATAATGGTACCATGATGCTCGTGAGGTTGCAACGAGTTGATTGGTACCATTGGTTGTGATTTATCATGCAGGGACAAGATTTTGGAGTGGACAAGGGTTGTACATACGCCCATTGTCCGTAGGTAAAAGTAGTTTGTCTAAAACGACAGAGGCAACGAGGAAGATGATGGCGTGGCATGCTGTGAATGGACCATTTGAATTTCGCGTGTTTCAGAATTTGGTTTTTTTGTTTTATCATATAAGATTTGTTTATTATCATTTATACAAATAACGAAGCCAACTCAGTTGGCTAGCATGCAGCGTGAGAATGCCTAAGGGCCTGGGTTCGATCCCCAGATCCCAACATTGTTTCATTTTTTTTTGGCATAATCAAGTGCACGTATATCCAGCAAGTCCACCATACATCCTCAGTATCCAACCATTCCATGCATCAACACTCCAGATCCAAGGCCATCCCCTGGAGGTCCACAATACGCCCCAGTCAAGCATGTGCATAGGATTGGAAAAAGTCAAACAGGGCTAGAGCTTGTTAGGCTTGAAACTGCAAACTACACCCCCTTTTGCTGAAAACTACTAGGCCTATTATTATTCTTTCTTTTTTATTTTCTTTTATTTAATTCAATTAGTTTAATTATTTTTAACCTAAATTAATTTCTTTTTTCACAAAAATCACAAAATCAAGTTTCACAAATTTAGATTTAGGTTTTTTTATGATTTTATCAAATTTAATTTAATGATAGTTCAATTTAATTTAGGATTAATTCAAACTTTTTCATATATTTAAAATCAATTAGAAAAAATTAGGGTTAGCATGTGATTTAATTTTTATTTCTTTCTCAAAATAAAAAAATAAAAAAATAGGTTAATTTAATTATTTTTCTTAATTAAAATTAATTAGTAATTAGTTTTTTTTTATTTTTTCAATTAAACTTTATTTTCTTAAAATAATCAAAATAACACAAGAAATGATTTTTCTTTTAATTTGCAATTAGGCTTAGTTGGGGTCAAAACCCTAAATCTCTCGTTTTCGTTTCATCGCACGCGTTTATTATATTTTTTTGCAATATTAATGTAACTGCTCACGGTATGTGATAGTTTAATTAGGATTTTTATTTATTTATCGTTTTACGGGTTTTTGGCTATGTAATTAATCCCTACCCGAAGCCTTGTAATAGCGTAAGTTTTATTTCCCGCATTTTAATTCTCGCAAATATTAACTGTTAGATGTATGTAAATAGGATTGTATGGCAAGATTGCATGATAATTTAAAATGGCTAGAAAACCCTAATGTGCAAAGATAATAACTGAAATCAAATCACACACACATGCGTACC